ATTCTGGGAAGATGACAGAGAGGAGGTAGATTAGATTTCTTTTACCACATTTGCATCCAGTGATCAAAAATACTGGATAGAATTGGTGAATAATGACTCTTGCAGTGGATGACAGCATCTGTAGAGAGCCAAAAATTTGCTGACTGAATGTTGCTTTTATAGAAATTGATGTTGTGCAGAATTAAAAACTGTTATGCTGCATGTTGCTATGGATAATTTGCTCACACATGGAAGGAAACATTTCCTCTCTGCCTTCCTACCTCTTTTCCTTTTCTGAAAATGGGATATACTAAAATTTATCAGATTGCTAAAAAGAGACATAAGGAGAACATGTAGAGAAAAGGATTTGATTTCTGATGTTTACAGAACACAAAGGCCTACGTTCATAAATAGATTCTTAGAATATTTGTGCTTAACATCAAGTGAGATATCTTTTGTTTCCTTCAAAACAAACCCCAAATATATTGACAGTGGATGCGAATTGTGCTTTTTAAAGCACTTTTGTATATTATTTCCTTTTACAAAGCTGCCATAATTTACTGATAAAGTTATTGTGTGTTTTGTTCTAATTTTTAATTGCTCAACAAAATAGAAAATGCATATAATCACACTTTCTATATATAAAAAAAGCATTGGCACTTCTATTTATTTAAATAAAATATCAAAGACAGCAAGACAGATTTTTTTTAATGCCTAAAAGAAAACAAATCAGGTAATAGAATAACAGCTTTCTGGGCATAAATATGCTTTGATGTGAGGGAAAGAAGAGAGATACATTCCCTTCATAAGCCAAATAGGAGGAGGGTAGAGGTATATATAGTTGGGATTGGTTTTTTTTAAGTACAGGTGATGGTTTAGTGCTGCAAGCTGGAAAAGTTTAGCTATTCAAAGATGACTATTAAAGCTAAGAGTGCTGATTAGTAATATGGATACTGATTTATACACATCTTTTGAGGGATGTTACAAAAGATGAAAATCTTTCCAGGTGCTCACTACTGGGGTAGTTCTGAATCTGAGTGTAGGCTTCTAAAGTACTGTAACTGTTAACTGCATTGGCAAGCTAATGCTATCTTTTGTCAGTGTATTAATGATAATTGTGCTTCTGCCCTCCTCTCCCTTTGTGTGTTAGGATGTGTTGAATATTTGTTTCAGCTTACTGATTTTTGTGTTTGGTTTTTTTTTTTCCCCCCTCCAGTTGACTTGATTTTACAGGTGATACCTAGCTCTGTAGGAAGAAGTCAAACCCTCAACTTGAGTAAACACTCAAGTCACTGAACCTGACAACCAAAGTTTTCTTTGCAGCTTTGACTTTGCTCCATTTTGTTGTTTGCTTGTTTGTTTTTTAATAAAATTTAAAGAGCACTGGAGGTTTATGTAATTTGTTTTGGCCACATGAGTTGTTAATACCTAGCATCCTCTATTCCTCTCATACTGCATTGAGGTGATGACCAGAATGCATGCAAGTTGGCTCATACCTGTAGTAACTTCTGGCGTGGGGGAGGTTGTCTCTGGTTTTTAATATCTACAGTCACTAGCTATTACCTTTGACCTGTGAATCTTTAAAAAGGTACTGCTAGAGAAAAAGGTTCTCTAAGGTTCAGTTACATTAGTATTTCATTTACCAGTTGTAAGTTAGTTACAAACATGTCCAAATGTGTCCATGTTTGTATTTTATAATAAAGCTATGAAGTAACATTCTATAAGGTAATAGTAGATTTTTTTTTTAACTTTAGATGAATTTGTATTTGTTTGGGATACTATATTTAGAGGTCTATGGCTTTCAGAATTCTAATTTGAAAGAATGGTTCAGAAGGTGTTATGTTTAAGCAGCAGGTAGACAAGAATATCTTAAGTGACTCCATCTTAAGAAAACTGTCAGTTAACTAGGAGGGGGACCCCTCCTTCCCCCTGATGTTTTTAGTGTTTACATGGACTGTTCACCTGAAATCCCAGGACAGATGTCAAAATAACTTAGCCAAAAGCACAGCTACTTCCATGTCTTTCAGTCTCTCTATCCAGAAAAATCTTTCCTAGTCTGAAAACCTTGAAAACTTGTGGTTTATCACTATGTCAGGGAGGCAAGTTTTACAAAAGAACAGCTAATGGCACTGCTTTTAGGACCTGTAGAATATCTGTTTATTTGTAAATGAAAATTTAATGCAAAACATTTTTTTTTATTTGTAAATTTTATTTTAGGCAAAAGATTGATCGTAGATGTGAACTGTTTATGTATATTCATACTTCTATTTTTAATCTGTGTAACTTTTTCTGTCTAAGTAGGTGTTATCTGTCAAGCGTTCAAACAAGGCTCGGATATAAAAATTCCCTTTCTAAACATAATTTTAAATAAGATGTCACATACGCATATGTTATATATGTGTGTGCATATGGGTAGACAGATAGTTATGGAAAACACACTAAAAAAGCGGGGTTAATTACATGGAAATCTGGAAATCAGATTTTATTAATTACTTCCGTAAATTGTTTTGGCATTGTGCCAGCTTTTGAGTGCCTTGCCCTGATGGAAAGGTAACTGCTGGGGGGAGGAAACCGACCTTCAGTTGCAGAAGTTGGTAGCACAGTGGGAGAAATGGTTGGCTGTGGTTTTATGGCCACAGGGTTGTTTTTTAAAAACAAACAAATAAGCACCAAATAAATAAATACACCACCACCACCACCAAACCTAAAACCAAACAAAAAAGCTAACCCACCACCACCGCTTCCACCCTGCCTCTACCCCTTTAAAAAAACCTCACCCAAATGTCCCAAACCCATTATCATTCACTGAGAGCACGGTGACTGCAGATGGAGGAGTTTCTTTGTGGCTTTTTAGGTGTGTCTTCTCAGAAATAAGATTTGTGAACTAGAAAGCCCTAAGGGAAAGCACCGTGTCTGTGGTTTGGTTGGAGCGTTTGATGGCAGCGCCTTAGATGTGAGTGTTTGATCACTTGCATTTTAAAATAAGTCTCCTTAGAATTTTCAGTGTTTTCAAGAGAAAAATACCCAGTAGCGATTAGGATATCTGACAGACTAAAGGATGGCAAGTTAGACCTGCTAGGTCAGAAGGCAGTAGAATAAATACATTTTTAGTCCTCTTCTGGTCAGCTGTGCCAAGAGTTTGGGTTTGCTTATTGTTGAAATGTATAATAAAGGTATCTTCCTAGAAAGGGTAATTAAGTCTTTGGTGTTTTGGGGATGTCACTAATGCTTAGAAAAAGTCACAAGATTCTTCTTGGAAGAACTGTGGGTGTTTTAGGTGGCTTGTGTACTTTAGAATTGACTAACCTTTACGTTAAACTACAGTGGGGAAATTACTGTTCTTGAAGCACATACAATGCTAAAGGTTCCTGAACCCAGTTTTGTTTGGCAGTTCTGTCTGTGTAGTTCTGCTGAAACCAGTGCAATAGAAAGCAATGTAGCTTTCTGATATCAGTGGGGGGATTTACTCCTTTTCTGAGCCTTGGTGAAAGAAATGTTATATTATGTGTGTGTGTGTATTTTTTTTTTTTTAAATACTTTGGGGAATCACTGACATTTCTGAGTCGGGGTCAGAGCTCTGTTTTCTTGTACTTCTTGTCTTATAGCTATGGAGTACGGATTAATGGCAAGTACTTACTTGGCTTCAGACATATGCATAAAGACAAACTGGAATTTACATCTCCAGTTATGTCTTAATAAATTGCAAATTGAGCTGATGTTTGTAATTTTAATCAAGTGATAATTTCTGAACTAATTTTGTCCCTGGCTGGTGATGTATTGAATGTTGAAGATGATGCTTAGTGTTAATTTCTCTTAAGTTCCAATTGAGGAAAGATTTGAAATGTGTTGATAGATTTTACATATTCATTTAAATGTATTAAAAGTAAAATAGGCTTGTTAAAAGTGGCATCTGAGTAGGTGTGATATCTAGGTAGTTTTTGACAGTAATCTGAATAAACTCGGTGGTCCACTAGAACACATGGTAAGAAATGAACAATTTTTCAAGCATTGATACCACCTAGTGGTAAAAAATATTGTTACTTGTTTACATATGTATTCAAAAGAATATGAAGTTTGTGTTATGTATAAAGAAAGGGGAATTAAACCATGTCTTTCGTAACGTTACATACACATGTGTAGTACTGCAAAAGCTGTTTAAGAGTGGGCAGCTAGAATTCGAACACTTGCACTTCACTGCTTGATATGTATAGGGATGGCTTTGATACAGTTTTAAACATATTTACTCTGTCCCATTTAAAAAAAAAAAAAAAGAAAAAAAAAAGAAGAAATTTCATGAAATGCAAACTGAATGAGAGTAATGGGGACTTTGTACAGGTGTAACCCCTCCCCCAGTCCTTTTCTGTGTGTGTAAACGCATCAAAAACATGCTTTTGTTTGGGGGGAGAAAAAAAAAAATCTGTCATTGGAGCAGAAGTTTGAATTCAGGTAACATTAAGGGTGTGGATATGGGTTGGGAATTCCTGGCACAGTCATTAATGAGACTTTGCAGTGAACCAGAGTGGAGAGCTGCTCTTGGGGAAAACTGGCCTGGCAAAATGTTGACTTGGCTGAGTTCCCAGAACTGGTTCAGAATGGATCTGCAGAGTTCATCCCCTGGGCATGAAGAGGGGGTGGCACGTGGTGGGGAGCGATGGGGAGAGGCTGCGGGAAGGCTGGGCTCCTGCTTCTGGAGGCCATACCAGTGCGTGCCAGGCAATTATGGCTACAGTGCTGGCCGCTTTGTGTAACGCCATCTGTCGAGATGGGATTGCGGGAAGTACCTTTCTAAGCAACATATTGCTCAAGTACTCTTCCAAAAATGCAGAACTTTAGCCCTTTCAATTACAGTAGTATGTGAAGCCATCTTTTAATTTCTTACACCAGCTGATGTAGGCCCACAGTATAAAAGTTATGTTTATCATTGTAATACCTGTAATGTGACTGTTAACATCTAAGATGGTAACTTGGCTAATTCTGGCTGATGTATGTAGACTGTTTTATTTCCCCCTTTTTATTTATAGGTATTTGTTTCATAGTGGCAATCCAGAGCATCCAGGAGACATACTTCTAAACACAACTGTGGAAGTTTTGCCTTTTCAGGTATGAATTCATAGATTTGTGTCTTCTCCATTATAGGATAAAAGCAAACCTGCCTACTTTTGTTCACATTTTTTAACAGGGTGAGGGAGCCATGAATGATTCGGTTTTTTAACTGTAGGATCTTGATGCTCTGATGCTCTCATACTTTTTCTTTTTTTAATTGGTTCTATTAACAGAAAACTATTTTAACTATTCAGATGTTCATTCAGAGTGCAGTCTGCTACAAGTGCTGTTGGTAATTTGGAGGTGAACAAGCTCATTTTCTTCCAATTCACTGCTGCTATTTAAAACAAAAAACTAATCAATCTTCCCTCTCCTGTGTATTTTGGAAAATGGGAAAGCTAAGTCAATCTGCTTTTCGACTTAGCAAAAAATTCTTGGTTCAGGAATTGACACACATCCAAAAAACCAAACCTTACTGGGTATTTAAATACCTGGACTGTTAAACTGAGTGTCTGTCTTTCTCCTGAGTACTGATTTATTTTTTTTTCCCCGTAAATCAATCTTTTATCTCAGGAGGGCAGTGCACTATCTAAATTATATTCTTGCTTGAAGCCAGGTGGCATGGGTGGTTCTTCTTCAACTAGCTATTACAGCTCACCATTTCTATCACAAAACTGTCAGAGGATTAAGATACTACTTCAGACAAGTTTATTTTATTTAGTATTAAAACAGCAAAGTATTTCTATCTTCTCCAAGGCACCTGGTGTAGGTATCTTGAAATCTGTGCCTGAATTACTATATGCTGAATGTCTTTTTCTTTGTTTTTAAGCAAATAATCATGGAGGAGTTCACTTCTCCATTCTTGCAGTCTGCCTTCCTGGGACTGAGCAAAAATAGAAATTTCTGACCACCCTTACCCCTAAAAAGAAATTTGTCAGTTTGATTCTAATTATACAACACAATATGTGGGATACTATATCATATTATAAGATTTATGGGTTTTGTTTCTCAAGACCTTTGGAAATATATTCAACCGCAAAAACCAGCAGCAGCCCTCACTTCATCTGGGCCTGAGATACCACAAGAATGCACGAGATAATGAGAAAAAATGTGCATCAAGGATCTCTTTTTTTTGGCTGTGCTCAGTTGTGAAATGTCCCTCAAACTGGAGCATCCCTTGAGGAAGTAATTCTTCAGAGCTTCCATTGCTATTGAAATGATCTGTGGAAAGGTAAACAGGAAATTCTGCACCCGGCCCATTCCTAAGCCATTGGTGTCAGCAGAAAATGTCACCAATATGAGGACAGCAGCTGCAGAATGGTAGGTACTGTCCTGAGGGAACAATTTCTCCACCATGGACTTCAGCAGAGCTGGAAGCCTGTTCAGGCACTTTGGCCCTGATCCTCCCTAAGCAGAATTCAGAAAAACAAAAAACAACCCTTAGAAACCAGAGTGCCCTCAGACTAGATTTTTCTGGGACTCAAGCAGCACACTCAGAAAACCCAACCAACCAAACCCCAAACCAAACCAACAATGACAAAGAACTCCAACCCAATCCCCCCTGAAAAAAACCAAAACCAAAAAACCCCACCACTTTTTCAGCAGCCTTCCTTAAAAGTAGGAATTAAAAAAAAAAAAAAGCTGATGGATTTAATCTGCTGTTTTGTTAAGTATTTTTAATTGATTCCTAGGAAATTCTTCCAGTGGGTCTTTTAGGATTGGATCATGTGATTCTGGTTGTAATTTTCCAGCTGTTTTTGAAGCTCTGGTCTACAATCTCATTTTTCCGTGCTTATTAAAGAAACTTGCTGATACCAGTCCCTTTTTAGTGAGTCAGTGATAACTGCAGTGCTTCCCTCGCTGCTCGAATGGCTTTTCATCTTGCCCGAATTCTTACACCAAAAAGTAAGCTGTAAGTTTCATTTGCCCTGAGAGAAATCTCTGTTTCAGCCACAGGAAAAGGCAGCAAGATCGTGCCTTCGCTTTTCTTCTACTGTGTATGCCAGTACCTGCTATGTATTCTGTTCACGTGGCAGTTAATGTGCCAGTTACGTGGGGCACTTAAAGCACTTCTTTTTTCTACTTTGAAGCCAAATACCACTCAGTTCTGGAACACTGCTGCTATTTCTTTTTTTCTATTGGCTTGTCTAAGGCTATAAATAACTATTCTAGGCTGGTTCATAATTATTTAGAAAAGATGGATGCTGAATGTATAACAAAAGCGCGCACACATTTGTCTTTCCCTGGCAAAGTCGTATGTCAAAATAAACGATCTCATTTGTGCTTTGTTTTTCTAGAATGAAGAGCTGGTATTAAGCAAAGAAACCAAAGACAAACGCTTAGAGGATGGTTACTTCAGGATAGGTATGACACAGTAGAAAGAAATGTGTATTGATACTATTGTAACAGTTAAGACGTTTTCATTCAAACGAAACCAAACCTAAAACTGAGTTTTGATCATTCATTTTTGGGTGCATGACCTCACAGGCTTTACTTAATATTGTTTCGAAGACTCTTTTTTGAGGCTGATGTATGAAACAAAGATCTAGTGTGACTGAGTTGTAGTGCAAGTTCCCTGCCAGGATCTTGGCTATTGTAGAGGCACTTCCAGGTTGTGTCAGATCACCTCTTCTGTCCTGAGACTGTGTGGAGTGCCTCTGTGTGAGCTGCTGTGCTTGGCCTGGATTCGAACCCACCCTACAGACAGTCACCTGTCTTGTCCCAGGATAAGAATGGCGTTTCCATAGCCAAGGGGCTGCTGGGGAGGATGCCAGGATGCCTCTTGTCAAGGAAGAGAGATTGTACTCATGGATTGCGTTTAGCTTGCCAGCCAGACCTTGGGCATCCCTGTTACAACAAAAGCAATTTTTTTTTTGTCTTAATGAATTGCAGTTTCCGTGTATCTGTTTTAAGTGTAAAGTCTAACTGGGCTTTTAAATTCTCGTATAATTGAAGATCCTTTAAATAGGAATAATAACCCTTGTCCTTAATCCTCCTTGAAAACACATAAGCCAGGGGCTCCATGTTTAGTTGCATGATATAAAATTAAAATCTGTGCCAAAATATTCCCAGAACTTGAGGTGCTCATACCCTTAGACAGTTCCAAAGTTTTTATTCTTATGTGTAATCCTGTTCAGATCAGTGTGCTCTCACAATACGCCCCATCCTGTTGGCTGCTGCAAAGCTGAATCTGGTATCAAAAATCACTGGCTGTCCTTTGTTTCAGGAATGACACAAGTCAACCCTCCAGCCACCAGCAATAGGTTTCACCTGTGAATTGTGATACTACAAATACATTGTTCTGGATACAGATTTTGTACTTCAGTTTGTTGATCAGGAGCTAATTGAGGCTATATTTTTTGCTTCTTTTGCAGGGAAATTTGAAAATGGTGTAGCTGAAGGAACAGTTGACCCCAGCCTAAACCCTATTTCATCATTCCGGCTTTCAGTGATACAAAATTCAGCAGTTTGGGCAATTCTGAATGAGGTGAGAGGTGGTATAACCTTTTAAAAATAAAATGGGCAAATGTGAGATTTCTTCATTCTGTCAGTGTGCTGAAGCTCAAAATTTTGGCTAACGCTGAAAACAGTTACCTCTTATTACTGAGAAATGGAGTACCCTAAAACATGACCTTTTTTTTTTTTTCTGATTCTCTATTTCAGATTCATATTAAAAAGATTACAAACTGATCATGGAAATTTGCTTTAGAGGAAAAAGAAAGAATCCTTGAAAATTTTTCCTATACAATCTGACATCCTTAGCGAGTCACGAGTTGAAAATAACTGAGCATGCACCTTACTCCAAATTTCTTTCATTTTCACTTGAACTCTACCTCTTGTGAAATCTACTGTAGATGAGAAGATTGTATTTACCCCTTCTTATCTGATCCATCCAGAAACTGATGCTCCACACTGATAACGTTCGTCTGAGGCCCGAGCTGTCCTCCACTTCAATGTGACTTTACCATCTGATGGTTACAGAACCCTGCTACGCTTAACCTGTACTATTTTGATAGTATAGTAATATAGAGAAGTTGTACATATTGTTACATTCCTTGAAGAAGAAAAAAAATATAATTATTGTTAAATATGTTTTATGAGGGGGTGCTTTCGGAGTTCCATTTATTTTCTATAACAAGAACCCTCTTTTATAGACTGTCAGGGATATATATTAAAAATGTTAGGGAATATTTAATTTATTAAAATAATTTGAAAAGTACATATTTTTATGCAGTAAAATTTTAAATTGATATAGTTTTTTTTATGAATTCTCTAGTTTTAAGTTATCTTTCTACATTTTTCTTTGGAGATGCAAACATAAATTAATACCATATTTCAAATATACTGCCATGTTTAAAAAACCCTAGATTAAGTTTCTAAATTACATAGTTTTGTACACAGAATCTGAATGATGTTCAGAGGCATTAACAGAGTTCTGAAGAGCATTATTCTTTGGGGCTATGAAATTCCACTATGTACAGTTTGTAGCCACGTAAAAAGCATGCTGAAATGTCTCGTTTCCTATTATGTACTAAATCTGCAGTGATTTTAGATTGAATCCATTGCATTTTAGAAGAATTTTTTCAATTCCAAACAGTTCTTTCTAAAAATCTTTGTAGACATTTCCTAGCCTGGACAAATTCATTTTCTGTACTGAAAAAAAAAAATCATTCTCCAGCTTTGCTTTGGAGTGACAGAGGTTACCTTTTATCGAAAGAATTAATAGTAATTAGATACATTTGACCTACAGAGGTCTCCTTTTACAAAGTTCTGTTATTGCAGTGTTTATTTTAGATACATTAGAGTGAGCAATTACGGGTTTTATTTATTTTCTTCCATTGTTCAAGACCAACATTTCCGTTTGACTCCTTTTTTCACCAGTGTCATAACTCGCACTAACTTTTATTAGGAACTGAATTTGGCCTCAAGTTAGTACCCGGCCTTTTCGTTTGAAGGGAAACAACAGTGATCTCAAATTCGGGCTAAATCCAGAGCGGGATTGTTGCAGTACTAATGCTGCCACTGCTCTTAAGAATCCTTTTGGTTAGGTGCTTATGTGTAAGGGAGGACACAGGCACGGGAAGATTTAAGTTACCCCGTCAGAAAAGGTCGGGAAGAAGAGAGGCAGAAATTCCTCTCTCTAATAGGAATGAAGTGCCTGATTGACCCTGGAGGGAGGCGCCTACCCTGGCTTGGGGATTCTCAGCTGTGCTGCGAACCGACCTCCTGGAACGGACACCTCAAAAGCTGGCCCAGTTTTCCCTGTGAAAAAATCCCCTCCATTATCACCAACATCTTTGTGGTCAGGGCACAGATGTGCAAAACCTCTTGTAGGATCCCTGATCTACAGCGGGGATCTTGACTTCGTATCTCCAGTGTGGAAGTTCTACTGATAGATTTGGCCTCTTTGTCGTGACACATTGATAAGGAGCAGGAGCCTAAACCTGACTCTCCAGCACTGCAAGCTGAAAGCCACCACCACTGGGATATAGAGTCAACCTGTCTTGTCTTCTGCCTTGTTGGAAAATTGTGTCCTAGCTTTGACAGTTCAGCAAATTCAAGTTTAAGAGCTTAACTACTTCTCCAGACCGTAGTCCTTTTGTTTTAGCTGTGTTGCCTGAGGACACGGGGAAGTCAAGATTTGTACACAGAGAGAAGACCTTCTGTTTAGACTGGCTGGTGTAAGTTGAAGAGAAGTGGGAAGCTGCCAAGCAGGCCTCCTTTACTTTTGTCTGATTGCATATGGTGGTGTAAATAAAGTGGTACTTGGAAAGCTCATCTTGCCCATAGAGACCGTGGGCATAAGCTAAGCACTGGCCTCAAAAATGGAGTTTACTCTTGGATTTAGGAACATGGTTGAATAAGCTCAGAACCCCATGTGACTCTCTCCTGTTGTGGTGCCACAGCCTGGTTCATTACATGTACAATGCTGTGCCATCAAATTATTGCCGTGCACACGTTAGCTAGCAAAGGTCTAAGAAAGTATCTTAGTTTTTTTTTTCTTCTCAGCTGTGCCTGTGAACGAATGATGCAAGTAATTTGAACTATAGCTGTTTATTACAATTTAGATTGCGGAAGTATGTTAGATGTTGCAGTTTCTTAACAGAAGTAGTTTTGCTGACGGTGACTTTCATTTTTTTTCCATGAGTTCAAAAGTTTACTTATTAAGCAAGCAGCATGCTTATTCTCAGAGCATCGCTGTTCCCGAGGTTTCACAGTGGTTAAGATGAATCATTGCTAATATATCTAAATATACAGAACCCTTACCACCTTGGTTGCAGGACTCTGGTGTTACCGGTATATTTAGTTTTCAGAAACATTGGTATGAAATTTATCAAAGACAACAAATTAACTAGTGCTTGGTAAAATATGTGAGGGTTTTTCTAAAGATTGTTGCATTTTTATTACATTGTACTAGCAGGAGTTGGAAACACTCTGGGCTGCTTTAATACTTTAAATGTTCCTGAGCTTATATGCTCTCTAAATAAATGTGCCACATTAACACAAATTACGTTTTGTAGTTTCAGGTAAATTCAGACCTGGTGTAATCAGGCAGAACTGCAAATTTGCTTGGAAATTTTGCTGAGATACAGAAAAAGCAGCAAAAATATTTTCTATCTAATTCTCTCTGCAGAGAACTATTTTGGGCTTTCTACCTTTCAAATTCCAATCCCCAAGTCAGGCTAACGCAGTGCAAGCCTCCTTTCCTGGAATTATGGTGAAATAAGACTGCTTCAGCTGTTTGGCTCAAGAGTTGTTAGTTCGGGCACTGTTTGTGACTGGGTATGCTGCAGGCTTGTGTCTTTTACACGTCTCAGCTGTAAGTTACCACAAGAATTCCTCCCGGTATCTTAAACCTATTACCTGATTTTTGGGATTTTTTTCCTACATTTATTTTATTTCAAGCCATTTTTGTTGTGGCCTTAAAAATCCCCTCTAGGCCACTGGATCTTATAGTAATCAAATAATGGAAAGTGTTTCAAAAGAAACTGCATTGTTCTATGATCCTATTAGCTCCTTCTGATGCTGTTAAAGCTTCAGAAAAGAGAAACCAAAGGCATTGCCAGAAACCTTCATTATCTGGGCAAATTAATTCTTAACTTATACTGGATGCCAAATGGATCAGCTGATACGAGCACTGGCTTTCCTGAGCTGATCAGGATTGCTCTGGACCAACCAGACTGTCAGTATAACCTCGCTTTGCTCGTTCGGCGGATAGTCCTACTGAAAACTCTGTAAATAATGTGAACAGGATGTCATCCCAAATTAGCACTTTTTAATTTTTCTAATTAAAGAGTGTTTCTAAAGCACTGTATAAGGCTTTGCGCTTTTGCAGGCATCTCAACCACTTATTTGCATTGATAGAAAATATTCATGTAGGTAAGTTTGGGTTTTCTTGACTGAAGGATGGCTTAGAAAGATTCTAACAGAGGAACAGATGATTCATGGACCAATAAAAGACTGGACTCTTCTGTTGTATCGCTGCTTGCTGAGCGCTTTCAAAAGCAGTTTTAAAATCCCTTGAGTCAGTTTAGAGCAAAGCAATTCATACTTTGCCCATGTGATTTACGGTTCCTTGAATGGGCTGGAGTGTGATTCCTCTTTGGCAAAATTGAACAACTGTGTAACATTTTTCCTTCCTTCATTTTTTTCCCAAGTATATTATCATTTCAGTAATCTCTGTTTTTTGTTGGAAATATTTGCTCTAGATTGAAGTATTGTAGTAATTTGTAGTTTGCTTCCAATGGAAAATATTATTTTAGTCTTGTGGGGGAGAAAAAGAATGAAATCTCTTCAAACCTTGCTCCCCTGACATAAATTAACCCTAGGTTCTGTAGTTGTTCTTACTAGGAAGGATGTATTCTGAAAAAGCTAAAGCAAGTAACTGTAGGAGAAAGGGGGGGGAACCCCTTATGTTTTTAAATCATCTTTACAATCACCAGCATAATGCTGAAAGGCTGTTAAACCACTGGTGTTTTCAGGCTAGCATTGACCACTGACGTAAAATACACACCCCGCACAGACTGGAGGAATTGGTCTTTGAAAGCGTCGCTTTTCCGACCTTGGGGGTCTCAAGGGTTTTGCTGCTGTCTGCTGTAAGCAGTGAGCAGCTAGAACGTAAGGTGGCTTAGTGCTGAGACCAATGAAGCCTTCTTTCAAGGGGACAAACTTTGATAACTCTAAAGGGAAGGTACATGGCCCCAAGTCCTTCACCGATTTCGATGGTATCGCAGCAAAGGCACTGAGTAGGAAGTATTTTTACTGTTGAACCAACGTGGGTGATGGCTGGTGCTGGGATTCCTGTTAGGGAGAAGTCGTACAGCTGGGCTGGGCTGCCCGCAGGACGGGAGCTCGTGCTGTTGGGCCTGGCTGGAATCCTTTGCCTTCTGCGGATCAGCGGTGCAGGGCTTTCCTTGCTAATGGGAACGTTGCTCAGTGCCTGCTGAGAGGGGAACACTATTCTCTTCCAGCCTTAACAGCGGCTGAAACGCACAGTACTGTAAGATGCACTGCCAGCATATTTGGTATTTTAAGATAAATACAGTTTTTCCTTAGAGATCAAATTCTAGTATTGAAATACTGTAACCAGTTTACTCTTGTGTTGTTTTGGAAGCTGAACCCTAGTGCTCCCGTTTCATACTGAGCACCCTGCTCTGGAGAGCTGTTGTCTTCATTTTCCAGAAGGTACCGTTTGTGACGGTCGGTTTATGCTCCTGCCTTGTGGACTCTGCAGCTGTAGGCGTTGCGGTGAGCCCACCACTCTTGCAGTCCAACTAACCTTGTGCTTCCCTGCCATGGTCATCGTCTGTAAGGCCACTCGTCATGGTGGCTGCAGTAATACCCACTGGACTGCTAGAGATTGGGTTTAAAAACTTGCTGCTATAGTTGGAAACCGGATATGGGTCATGCTAATTGTGCCTTTCATCACTTATTTCTGTGTGCCAGAGTTGTCCGTGTATAGCTGAAACAGTCAATAAAATAAACTTCTTCTCCAGCTCTTTCATGAAAGGAGGGGACAGTTCTGTATCTAGAGACAGTTGTTGCTTTACTGCTGCAACACTATTAAGATCCCTACTTTCACACAGTCCCAAGGCAAGGTATTCCAGTATTATTCTTAAATAAAACTGCTTTTCCGTGTCACTTAACACCCTCATAATATAGAGCTTATGCCCGTACATGCAAAATATCTGCAGTAAGAGTTACGCTAAATAGACTTGTTTGTTGCAGTTAAATTTAAGCTACAGAGACGTACAAGTAACTTGTTTTTAGGAATGTACTGCAAAAGTATTTGAACAAAATTGCTAACATGTTTACTGTTGTAAATATTTTAATTAAAAAAGGACACTTCAAACTTTTTTACAATTATCTACAATAAAGAGAAATTTACAACCATTTACAAAACGTTCTTAACTTTTTCTTTACTGCCAAGACAGCCAAGATAACAACAAAATAAACACTGCATACGTGAAGTCCTGGTTTTATTTCACTCTGTATTTATAAAAGGAACAAAGCATCTTGGTGAAGTTCCATCCGCATGCTAATGAGATCAAATAGAGCATGATGAGAAGTGCGAACGGATACAGAAGAATAGCTGTGTTCTTCAAAAAGGGCAATGCTGAAACAGAAGCAAGAGTGACACCAGTGTAAAGCAGTGATCTTTCAGAAAAGGTGCTTCACGCCTCGGGGAAGGCGAGCAAGGAGAAGCAGCGCAGCTCTGCCGGTGCCAAGAAGGGCAGGTTTGCCACCTCTGCCCTACTAGTCCCACCATTACCACAGATTAAAGAGTGCTTGAGTTAACTGGTACAGGAAACGCCCTGGGAAACTCTTCTACCTAAAAGTGCAGTCTGAAACTCGCTACAGCGTTCTTATCCGATGCAGACATCTTAAAGTGGGTTTACAGAGGAACAAGAAAAACAAGTTGTGGCACTACAGGTCTAAGACAAGACAGGAAGTTGGTGTGGTGAGGAATACAAATGCTTTGGTGAAGATGATGTCCACCCAGCTGGAAACACGGATTGGTAAATTTCCATCAAACTGTTTTCACCACAAGGAAAGAATTATTTCAACAACCAGCTGAGCCTCCGCTTTACAGATTAATAGACCCAAGACCAAATGAGTAGACTAAAATCACGCTCTTGTTTTTAGTCAAACAAATAGAAAAAGTTGCCGTTACTTACCACTGTATCCTAGGAACGTCACATAGATGTAATAGCCGATTGCAATCAGCCACAATGTATTCCCAACGAAATACCCAACGACAGAATCAGATATGATGACATCTGAAAGAGACAACTGCCCTCAGCTGTTCTGACAGAGCATGATTTGGAAGCAGAGAGCACAAAATATTCTACTTACAGTTGATGAAAAACAGCTGGATAAAATGCAAAATGACGAGAAGCGGATAGAAGGCATTCAGATGAACATCAAAGGCGTATCCCCACTCCACATCATAGTCTCTGTTCTGCTGCTTCACCAGGTACTTATTAGAAATGAACCTACATGAACAGATATTTGGGAATGCCATCAGCGTGAATCTATAAAGCTGACTGACAAAAGGCTGGTTTGAGACAGTCAACCATATGTCATCCTAACTCTGTACCCCGACAAAGGTTCTGCTATCTGGGAAAAAAACGTGCAAGAATTATGCAGATCAGACTATCGGTTTTGTTAAAACGGTAATTACATTTCTGGCATTCAATGGGCAGCTGAAATACCCTGCAGGTAATACAGCACCAGAACTTTTTTTTTTTTAATAGATCAGTGCTGCAAATTATCAATGCAGTTACAAGCTCTCAGGCAGTGTGCCACCCTTGCACACACAGAGGGACGACTTCAGGAAAGTGCCGGTAGGTTATCACTTCACACGTGCATTACCTCACACAGGGGTGGTTTATTTCACCTCTACAGAAATGGCTCACTTCAGGGATGGGAAGAGGGCAGGCTGGCACTCTTTAAGATGAGCCCATGCTCCTTACTGGAAAGAAGCGCTAACAGAAGGTACACTGCCTCATGCTGCAGGCTGTACAGCAAGCCTTGAGACTGTTCTCTTCAGCTGAAGTTCTGCTGACATCAGAAAACATACCCCATGCTGAAGAAGAACCACAAGTCAATATACGCTCAGAAATAAGCTAAGAGAGCAGAGCTTTCATGGCAGCTTTCTCTGACACGCTCTTTGTGGGAAGGGCAGGGTCAGAAAGGCAGAGCCTGGGTGCAAGGTAAAGCGAGGTGAGAAGGGGTTTAGACTCATTAGGAATGGGGGAAGCTTTTGGAAAAAAGGTGAGCCTGCACAGGAAGAAGGGCCTTGAACCAAACTGGAGCCAGGTGACTGGTAAGAAGCTGAGTAAAGGATCACAGGAAGAAGGGCCTTGAACCAAACTGGAGCCCATTCCTAATGAGTATTTAGGCCGGTAAGAAGCTGAGTAAAGGACAGAAGAAAACCAGCAGATGCTGAAGTCTTTCTGGTTCAGGGGACAGCATCCTAAGTCACAAATTGCTGGAGGATGGGGGAAAGCGTTGCTGTGTGCTCTTCCCCAAGCACTGTATGGGGTTGCTCTCCCAGGCAGGAGGGTAGGTCAGATGGATCCTTCAGCTATCCGCTACAGTGCTTGTATGTGCCTCATCCTCAATTTTGCAGTTACAAGCAGGAGTTCCTGAGGTTGCTGTTTGAAAGGAATCTATCCCTTTTCCTATCGGCATCACTTTAAGACGTCAGCTCCATTACTAACAACTCTTTGAAATGCCCTTGCTTCCTTTTAAGTTTTCATTTTCCACCACTGCCAAGAATAAGCTCTTGGTAAAATAAAAGTCCTTTGGTGTCCTCCCCTTGCCGCAGTGCAAAACCAGCGACTTCCCGTTGATTCACGATTCCGTTGCCAGTGCAGGACACATCTCTTATGTGCTGAGGCCTCGGTTATAAACTGACTTGCTACTGTCTCTCCCCTTCCACAAGTCTCTGGCCACTACGGGATAAAACTGGCAGCGACTACCACCAAAGCCAACATGCATGGAACAGAACAGACCTTGCTTGTAGTGGCAATAGCTAAAACCTTCAGCAAGAAGTGTGAGCCGATCATATATTGCCCTACTTAAACATAACCATCCTCAGGCATACTTCAGCTAAGCTGTTCAACCAGAAAAAGAATTGTTTCTGATCACCAGCTTTCTGATTTGGAATTACTCCTAAAGACCCACCAGCTCAAGAAGACAGGAAATGAGACAAAACATTCATTATAATACAGACTTTCTGAACATTCATCTTCTGCAGGAAATAGTAAAGAAAACGGTATGTTCTTTTCTAAAGCAACATTTTGAAACAATTACCGCTACAGCACAAAACCTACGGTCAATACACACGTTATAATTTTGCCCCAAACAGAGAACCAAGCAGACGGCAGAGGACTATCGGTGTCCCAACAGCTGCACTGAGCTCAGACATCGCTACTTACCACATCAGAGTTGCGATCAGGAGGCCAACGCCTACACAGTCTATGAAGACAACCCAAAGTAGCAGCTTTATTGTTTCAAAAAACCCCATGTCCAGCACAAATCCAAATCCTACAGTAGACACTGAAAGGAGAAGAACAACATTAAAGTTAGCTATGGAAAAGAAAGCATGAGATTTTAAGCTGGTATGGTTTTGGAATATACAGTTAGAAAATCTCCAGTTTTCATGTTATTTTTCTCCCTGAGATTTTTCAGTCCCACAGCTCACTTTTTCCACCAAACACTAGGTATAGTGCAATTTATTCATAATGTAATCCCTTTCACAGACTGGAGAACACTCATCTCTACTTGGGCTTAACGATAGCAAACCGTATCGCTCCACACCCCCCAACTACTTTTTAAAGATTCACACAATGCTACAATAGAAATTCTTTGTTGTCTAAAAGCTCCTTGTTAACCCAAACCATGCATGTGGTGAGATGTGCTTTTATTTCAGAGTTAACAGTTTTGATATTGCTAACAGCGACGTGCTATATAACAGAAGAAGACTAGGATAATACTTACTGCATTTGCACTTCAGTCTAAAAATTCCATGAGACACTTTGTTTATAGTTTAATTCTGCAATATACAGAATTTCACTGTGGCCTTTATTGTAAATACAATATTCTACGTGTAACGTTTAGATTAAACCAAACGTTCAGTACTTTTTAACTAAAGCATTACTGTGTGGCATGGGGGCTTATTACCATCTGTAAAGCTACAGGGAACTACATAGTTTGAAACGCAATAGAAAATGAGTTGCAATAGAGAGATTAATTCAAGGCTACGTAGTATTAGTTATGCCGCCTCTGTTTTCTAATTCCCACCTTAACTTCCAAAAAGTTCGGCCATTTTTTTCTGTTCTACTTCGATTAAAAGATAATCCATACGGATTGGTCCTTTTTTTGTGTGTCTGTGTGTTATTAACAGGGCCACGAACGCTCATCCGTCCCTCAACTTGCCCTCCCTCTCTTCCGTGCTGTCTGTTCCCCTGCACTCACCGCAGAGCCAGATACTGAGTAGTACTAGGAAAGCGGGATCATCTCTTGCCCATTGGTCCTTTGTCTGTTTTCTGTAGTGAAAGTTCCTATAAACCCTCTGCGGTGAAGTAAACAGGTAAAGCATCTGCCAAAGGGCAAACTCGAAGTCCATCTGTCGGAAGTGGAAGAGCCTCCGCAGGTACTTGTAGCGTTTTGCTCCAGCTGTATGCCTCGCAGCATCTCTGGGGCTCAGCGCGCCGTTGCCCTGGCTCCGAGAATTAACTGAGGTGGTTGGCAGCATTTTGCTAAGGAAGGTGTTTCAAAAGACGCCTTTGGTTTTGCACATAACGCGGGAATAAAAATAAAACCACACACGATGCAGGCCACACCTGTAACACGGAAGGTACAAACCGAACTACGCACGAGTACAAACGACGGCGTTTGCAGGGGAGCCCGGCGCAGCCCGGCAGGCGCTCCGCTGGCTGCTGGGGAGGGCGGCAAGCGGGGAGCTAGGCGCAGGCAGCCCCGCGGCCCCCGCCCCCCCAGCCCC